ATTTTTGTCTTCTAGATGAGGGAACGCATACTCAGACTTCTTCACAGGGGAAGAACACTCGTTGCCGAACTGTGGGAGCTGGCACTTGTGATGTTGTTAAAAAGAGGAAGAGTTTGTTTCCAATACGGATGGATCCATCCCAGAAATTGGTGGCAACTATTGAGGCTTAGAAACTGTTCGTCTCTGAGATTGGGTTAATCACTCGCAATAAAGCTCCATTGAATGTTTTAGGGATGAAAAAAGTGAGCTTGGAGTCTAAGAAAGATATGGCATTGGGATTGCAGGTAATCTTATCTAATACTGCTTTGTAGTATGTGCAACTTAATTCATAATTCAGGGACTTGCAAATAAAAAGCTTGTGGCAATATATACAAGGGTGAGTCAATGTTTCTATTTGCATTGAAAAATTATAACTAATACTTGTTTTGTTTATGGTTAATTGATATTAGTTCATGTTTGATGTGGACTTAACGGATCCTAACTTGCACGAGCAACACCTCCCCCTGAAAAGATGTTTGGTACGCGAAGGACTCTAGAAGAGTGACATTATTTGGTTGATACGTTGTACACAAATGAGTAATATCAGGTATTTAATGTCTCATAACATTTGCAGTTTTCATTTTTTGATTGGGAACTTATTCTAAGTATCAAATAGAAAAAGAAAAAAAAAATTAACAATTCATGTATATAATCAAAACAGAAATGTTGCAAGGCCAATGCTGAGAACAGAGAAAAAAAAAGAAAAAAGAAGTTTGATCATATATACATGGGGTCACATTCTTTCCTAAAACACATGGATGGTGTTAAAGAGGTTTATAATTTTAGGCCACTTGAAATCTTTCTTTATTTATTATATTGTAATAATTTCAAGTATTTCTCATTTTCTTTTTGTTGGGAAAATGTAGAAGGGTGAAAATCCTACATACATTAGCTACTGGAACAACATGTGTATGTGTAAGGATAAGAGCCTGTCGATCAATGAGGCTGCTGAAATTAAAGGGGTAAGGAATACATAAACCTGCTGACAATTAACTATTGACTTGCATATATATGTGACATGCATGTACTCTTCATGGCTTTTTAGTTTATAATCTGCAATCAAAAACAAAATCAGCCGACTGGTCATGCAAGTTTTTGACGACCCATTATTTTAGATGCTAATTGTGTACCTTGGTTTTAGCATCATATAAAGACTTTATCCATTGCAAATAGAACTAATTAATTAGAAATACAAAGAAGATATGTGTAAGTTTTCTAAATTTTCCATGATCTTATATATTGATGACCAAAATAACGTGCATGCTAAGATTGTTTTGAAACTGAGCTGCCTGCAGTTGTACTTCTCTTCCTCTTTGGAGGCCCAATTCCAAACTCCAATTAAACAAATTCAGCTCTAATAACCCGTTGTGCTCTTAGAAGTTCAAATTTAGGCCCAATTATAAAGGGGCCATGTTGCTGGGCAAATATTTATAATCCCTGTTTTTCGAAGTTTCTTGTTTGTATTGTGCTTTGGGGAGATGCAGAAAAAGGATCTTATAAGACCTGTGAGTATTTTCAAACTTTCTGCAATCTGTATATCCAAAGAGATATATTCCATTTTTTATGTGCATTTTCCTTTTATTATTTGCTTCAAGTTGATTTTATTTTTGTTTGTGACTGATTTGGATAATTGGCACTGCTGATTTATGAACGCCATTGGTGGTACTAGCATCCCATTCACTTCATTCTTTTTATGCATTTCTAATATTGACATATCTTTATTTTGCTTCTTTTTGTAGAAGATGTATGAAGAGTATAAGAAGGCCAAGCAACAAGTGGCAAAGAGTTTAGGAACTCCACTAGATCAAATCGCACTCCCTATCCCACAACAGTTAGAGATCATGACTGCAGAACTTGGGGTTGCAAAGGGCAAGAGGATTCGAG